ATTTGAAGTGTTTGGAGGAATACGGTGGTGGTGGTGGGAGGGGGGGGGGGGGAGGGGGGGAGGGGGAGGGAACGAAGGAAGGAAGGAAGGAATGGCACCAAATAGAAGATTCAGAAAGCTTTCTTTAATCCAATCTTTACAATGCCCTGTACTTTTTGTTGTAGTTTTTGTGTTTCCCTTCCCCTCCTTGGGTTTGTGCGCCGTCCTGAGTCCCGTTGGGAATAGGACTGCATATTAATAAAATGAACCTCGAACATCGAACATCGAACCTTTCACCCTCCCTCATTTCATTGGAGGAAAATCTGTCTTCACCCACAATCCACTTTTCCTTCACAAGCTGCCATTGTAAAGATTGGATTAAAGAAAGCTTTCTGAATCTTCTATTTGGTGCCATTCCTTCCTTCCTTCCCTTCCTTCCTTCCTTCGTTCCCTCCCCCTCCCTCCCTCCCCCCTCCCTGAAATCAGAACGCATTCTGTTTCCATCAAACATGTCAAATCACCTTTGAAGATGAACGGCCCTGACTCCAGTTTACTCATTCATGCTGTTCCTGTAGATATAAAACAATATTTTTCTCAGTCTGGCTGCTAAACAGTAACCATAATTCACCTTTCTAGGATAATCTCCTTGAAGCATTTTGGAGCTAGTTCACCGCACATTGCAATGGAACTCTCAAATAATCATGTAGCTTGGCTATTAAATATATCTACCAGGCGCCAGGGATGATAGAGACATAAAGAAAAGAGAGATGGAAAGAATCTGTGTGACATCTAACAGCCAAGCATTCCTGGGTCAACTGGAACTGTGGTTTAATCAATTCATCGTGGGCTGTTCTTAGAATTCCATGTAAGCCATCTGCTCTTGGAATGGACCATTTACCAGTTGCCAATCTGAATGCAGTAGATTAATTGTTTTTCCTAGAAGCGATAATATTTTTGGGGAAGGAAGGGGGTGGTGGTATTTGGTATGGAGGGTGAAGAGGGTCAATGAATTCAAACTTCAAGTTACAAAGAAGAGTAATTTGCTTGCTGGTTGATTGAGGTAAATCACACCCACTCGTTTTATTACTCTGCAGTTGCCTTTTCAACCTTGCTTAGTATCTGCTATTGTTCGGCTATCCTTCTCTAGACCAGTGTTTTTCAACCTTGCCGACTTTAAGTCCTGTGGACTTCAACTCCCAGAATTCCCCTGAAAGCAATGCTGGCTGTGGGGGTTTGGGGGGTGGAGTACACAAGAATTCAAGCTCGCACAGTCAGAAAATACTGGCAT